GGGATGGTCACTGGGAAGAGGTAACTATGGGGAGGAAGTGGGAGGGGAGCTGTTGCATTGTGGTAAACTGTGGTCAGTGACATGAGACAAAGTATATGTGAACTGCTGTGTGGAAAGTGAATTTGCTCTGTAAATCTTCACCCAAATCACAATAAATAAAAAATTGCCACTGGATGTGGTAGACCAGGGAGAGAGTCAGGACTGTCCTAGATAAAAGGTCTTTTTTCCCATGGTAGGTGGAGTTTGAGGATGGCTCACAGCTTGTGGTTAAGAGAGATGATGTGTACACGCTGGATGAAGAGCTTCCCAAGAGAGTCAAGTCTAGACTGGTGAGTGTGGGTTTTTTTTCTGTGTGCCTCTGGCTTCTGCCTGGGAGAGGGAACAAGGCAAGGATGTGTCCTTTTGTTTTTTTCCTGGGGTGGGTAGCCATCAAGTACTCATTTGCTTATTCTTCTTTAGTCAGTAGCCTCAGATATGCGCTTCAATGAGATTTTCACGGAGAAAGAGGTTAAGCAGGAAAAGAAACGACAGCGAGTTATCAACTCAAGATACAGGGAAGATTATATCGAGCCTGCACTATACCGGGCCATCATGGAGTAGGTGCTTCCAGGAGCCAAGAGATTCCCAGCCATCAAGGCAAGAGCACTGTGCGGTTCCACAGCACAGCAGACATTTGGAACTCTGAAGTTGTAAAAAGAAAAGGAATGAAATAACCACCCCATCATCTTCTCACCCCATCCTCATCGCATTCCGCTGTAGTGAAAGGACAAGTCGTTCTTGGATGTGACAGCAGCCGGCTGATCTCCAGCTGAAGGGCTGAGCACCAGAATGCTGAAGCTGCACTGGCCCCAGTCCCTAATGGGGTTGACTGCTGGCTGGCCTGGTTGCCCTGCGCCTGGCCTAGGACTTAGCTTCCTAATGATCCACCTGCATCGACTGGGCAGAGGTGCTGGTGCTTGCCCCCACTCTTCCTTTTGTATTTATGTGTGCGTGCGTGTGTGTATGTGCGTATGTTTGGTCTGGACCAGCTTTTGCCAGCCCCTGGCCTTTACTTCTTCCTTGCCTATGCAGGGCAAACAAAATGTGAAACTCTGCCTTCAGCTGAGCTGAGTAAGGGCCCCTGGGGGTTGGCTGGAAATGGGTGTGGCATCTGTTCAACCCTGAAATTGCCTCAAGGGAGTGCTGGCAAAGCTGCAGTATTGAGGTGCTAAGAAGTTAATGCCACCTCTTTGTCCTCCCTTGAAGGAGATTGTGCGGGTAACATGGATGTGTCCCACATCACTCTAGGCACAGAGCCCCTGTGTCACAGTATTAGAGGGTGGGGAGATTTTAATGATGGAAGCAGGCAGAGCCTGATGGGTGATTTTTGTCAACAGAAAATTATAATCATGCAGGGGCTGGGAGTTAGAATGAACTGGGGCCACTGGAGGCCAGGGGCAAGCTTAGATATACCCCTTGGTTTCTGGGAGGAACTGATTTAGGGGAGGGAGGGGGGAGGCTGGAGGGCAACACTGAAGGGGTTAAACAGGTTTTTGCTCCTCATGAATTTGTCTGCCTGGGCCCAGGATTGAAGGGGTTCACACCTATACTCTGTGTATACAAGAACCAGATTTATAATAATTCCCCTTTTTTGTTACGTACGAACGCTATAAACCAAATTATTTTGAAAACCGGTGCATCACCTTGTCCTTAGCAATAAAATGTGTTGAGCAGAGCATTGGCTGTGTCTGCCCCAAGGAGCCAGAGTGGCCCAGGGTCAGGCTGGGGTTACATCTAGAACCATGAGCTCTGGAGACGGCCATATATTTTAAGAATTGTTTTAGAGCAGACTCTAGGAAGCTGTCCTCAGGAGCTGGGCCCAGCCCCTTATCAGTTGCTGGCCCTGTTGCTCTGTATCAGCTGAGCAGCTGAGACATGGGGAATTTGGGTACTTCTAGCTGTGAGTGCCTTCTTGCTTCCCAGCCTTGGAGACTGAGCTGCCTGTGATTGGTGAAAAGCATCCCTAGAAGGAGTCCCATTCTTCGCCTGGTTAGTCCGTGAAGATTGAAATAGGGTAGGAGAGTAGCACAGCAGGGACGGGGGTATTGAATGCCGCTTGGCAGTCCTTGGGCCCTCACTGGGTATGGCAGAGGCTTGGGTCAGGTCAGCTACTCACTCAATGCTGCTTTGTGTCTTGGGCTTGGGAGTTGGCTGCTACCTGGTGTTTGATTGTGGGAAAAGGGAACAGATGCTTTTCTATGCCAGCTCCAGGGAGGTTGGCATTTTTGCCCAGCATCTGGGGTTTTCAAGGGATCCAGCTAGCCATGCTGGGTGGAGCCACCCTTACGGGATTCGTGAGCGAGCCCAAGCAGCACTCATCTTTGGAGGGGAGGATCACTTCCCAGCCTTTTGTTTCATATTAAACCAAGCAGGTCATTGCCATGTATCTACTAGTGCAAGCTGGCTGGCCATTGAAGCTTTCAGGAGTGGGAAGGGGAAGGGAGATCTCAGCCAGTCTAGGTCAGGTGGTTGGACCGTTCATCTGGTGAGGCTCCCAAGTATCTGGCTGTTGATACTTGACTGATAGATAATGTTGGGACCAAGTGGCAACACTGTCTTCATGAGGGGCTGCAAGCAGTGGTGGTCCAGCACTTGCAGGCCTTGCTTTCCTCCACTTTCACCCTCCGAAGTTTGATTGCTCCATTTCCCTTTCTGTGGGAGGCAGCTGTTGGGGCCTCTTGCAGCTTCGGGATCCCAGGTTCCACAGCCTTTTTCTGCAGTCCCAGACCTCACACCTCCTCCCCTTAGTCTCACTGAGGGAACTGCAGGACTAGGTGCCTGGTGTAATCACAGCTGAATTCTTACTCAACAGCTTTTTTTTTTTTTCCCAAGAAATTTACATTTTTATTTTGGTAAATGTAAAAACCCTGGAAACCAAAGCTCAAAGAGATAGATGATGGGACTTGCCCAAAGCACAAGATGGGACCTGCTTGTTTTCTGCCCCACTGCCTGTGCTGTCAGAAGACTGACCCTGGCGGTGGGAGGTGCCTTTTCCTACATACCAATCCCCTCAGGTTTAAGCAGTGTCCTTCGGAAGCCTTTTGCCTGGGCGAACTGCCTGCCCTTAGTGTAGTCGGCATCGGCATCGAAGGATCTCAGTTTAACCGTGCCCTTCCTTCCCGTTAATCCCATCAACAGTAAGCTTTATATTGTGCCCTAGGCGGATAATCCTGGGGCTCAACTGCGGGAATGCGGGAGTTGGGTGGGAGGGGGAGAGCACCGGAGCTCCAAGGACTAAGACTGGTGGGGCGGGAGGGGCTGAATTCCCAGACTAAAATTTTCTCTTGAGGCTCTAATTCGGGAATGTAGGAGAGCAGATTGGGACACCCCCCTCGCCACCCCCTGCCCTGGTCTTCCTTTACTCCACAGGATTGCACAGGGTCACTCAATCTGCAGAGGTCCAAAACCTTGGGCCCCAGGGAGCGAGCAGGGTGGCGACGCTCACCGCCTAGAGAGAAGAGAAGCGTTGAGTTTGGCTCTGGGCGTCCCTCGGCGTGGGATGACCATGGCCATTAAGCACTTTGCGCCCAAAGCTGACAATCCGAGAACATACTCCAACCCCGTACACAAGCAAGGAAACAGGCTCTCGAAGGGCAGGGTTCTTTGGGCAGGCCTCGAGCCCTGCGGGAGTTAGACGTCCAGATTCCGTAAGCCCTACCTCTGAAGCGTGAAACCCAGGGAGGCGTCCTAATGGCCTCGCGCCCTGGAGGCAACCGAGGCGGGGGCGGTGGCCTGAATTTGCAGGCCCAGGACAAGGTCTGGCGGGCCTGTCCTACCCCCAAGCAGCAGAGAGCCACTCGCGACTCTTTACAGCCATAGTCCCTCCAGTGGGCGGAGTGGGTGGCTCGGGAAACTCGGCCCCTGTGCTGATTGGGGCCCTCTGGGCCTATGCCCGCCCCCGACTCCAGTGCAGCTCTGCATTGGTCAGTCTGGCGCACCGCCTGGCTCCCCTGCGCCGATTGGCCGCGGATGCCCGACCCCCGGCGAGGCGGCTGAGGCGGAGCGCTGGATTGGTGGTCCTGCCGTCCCCGGGTCGCGGCCGCGCGCTCCGCCCGCTGCTGCGTCCCCACTATGGCGGCGCCCATGCAGCCCACCGAGTCGTGGGCGCCCGCCGGGGTCCCCTGCGGCTGTCGCCGCCGCCTGCGCCATCGCCTCCGCCTTCGCGCCCCGCGTCGGGACGGGCGCCGCCTCCCCCCTGCTCCCCTCTCCGCTGCGGTAAGGGCCTGTCCTGTGCGCGCCGGGGCGCCACTGACGACGGCGGCTAATGGTCGCCGCGCAGCCCCTCCCCGCCTCCGCCGCGCCAGGCGGCAGCGGGGAGCGGAGGCTGTGCGCGCGTGTTGGGGAAGGAGGGCTAGGGGTACAGCCCAGCAGTCTCAGAATACTTGGTCTCGGAGGTCGACCCCTGGACGTCCTCGCCTTAGCGGGAGCTGCCAGGCCTGGGGGGAAAGGGAGGCAGTCCGGTCCGCACCCAGGGCCGAGCAGCGTGAGGTGACTTGCGGGCGAGACCCCGCAGGACTGCGCATCTTGGCGCAGAGGAAGGGCACGGTCTTGGCGGGCCTCAGCTGTGGCAAGAGGAAGGAAAAGTCCAGGGAAAGCCTGAATGGGAATCAGCAGCGTACGTGTAGAGGTTGACATTGCTTACTGCTTTACCGGGAGCCAGATTCTGAGAGGGAGTGGGGTCAACTTAATTGGCAAAGCACACCTCTCTTGCTTCCTTTCGTGCTGGCACTTTCCCCATTGTTTTCTTGGTGATCTGGCTTGTAAGAGAAAATATCTTAGTAAAGAGAGCAGGTTTGGTTAGGAGAGAGTCCCATGAATATTTTGGATTCTTACTTACAACAGTGCTCGTTTTCATGATTCCTCAATAAACCTTACTTATGTCAGTTTGTGGTCCCTTTACGTATAATGGAGAAGTGAGACGCATAACGAAATTATTGCAATTAATTGAGGGATGGGCTAATGAAGGCAGAAAGTTAAAACAAACGCAGACACATAAACATTTAATCTGTGGGTGTACTTTGAATTGTCTTTACATAAAAGTAAAAAAAAAACCAAACTCACTGCCACGGACGGGTCCTGACTCATAGCGACCCCTCCTTGGGTCCGAGGCGGTATCTCTATGGAAGTAGATTACCCAATTTTCCTTCAGAGGAGTGGCTATTCATCAGCTTTCTGGTTCGCAGTCAGATGCCTTAGGCACTACGCCACCAGAGCTCCCAATGTAGCTATACTATAGATTATTGGAAAGAAATCACTTATTAGGTGATTGTTGTTAGGTGCTGTGGAGTCGATTTGTATAGGATAGAGTGGAACCTGCAGGATAGACTACCACTGCCACATAGGGTGTCCAAAGCTGCTATGAGTCGAATCAAGTAGATGGCAGTGGATTAGTTAGTAATCTTTAAGGAATCAGACTGCCACATCTTTCTCCCCTGCAGCGGCTGGTGGGTTCCAGCTGCCAACCTGTTGGTTAATAGCCCAGAGCTTAACCACTGTGCCACCATGGCTACACTGCTTACTAGATTACTGAAAGTAAAACATTCTTTATGGGAAGTTATGTTATTTGTAAGTCAGAATCACCTTTGAGTCAACATCACTGGACTATTCAATATATCTTCAACTCAAAGGATTAAAGGGAGACTGGCATAAACTATATGACAAAATGGTATTTTCAAATAATCCCTTAAGGCCATAGCAGCTCCTAGGATTAAAGATTTTTAAGGGTGTTTTGAAGTATTAACTTGTGAATATCCCCTTTCACATGTCTAAATGTTTAACCATATTTTAATACAAGTAAATTTCTAACGAGGAGACAAGACATAACATGTTTTTAGAGACTAGTTGACTTTAGATCAATCAATAAAATATCTATTGAGTACATGTTTTGTGCAAGGGATTGATTATGGGAACCCAAAGACATATGTTGTTGTTGTTGTTATGTGCCATGAAGTCAGACCCGACTTATAGTGACCTCTCCTTGGGCTTCCGAGGCAGTATCACTACGGA